AAAAATTTTGAAAATTTGAAAAAATGGGTCGGCGGGTTATGCAAAACGAAAAATTAACTTTGCGTGGCCTAATATATTGCTACATTGTTTTTTTTTTAAAAAAAAAGACGATCTTGTCTCAAATTTTATTAATAAATACATTACGTATCTTATTAAAAGTACAACAAAAGAAGTTATTATCTCTGAAATAAACTAACACTTTTTGCACAAATTTGAGTTTATAAAAATAACACTCAATAAATAACGTAATTACAAATTTTTTTACACGTTACCATAGATATAATTAGCATAAATGCTGTATTGAAAATTTAACCAATAACAAAGATTTTATAGGCTTTCTTACATTCAATCATAAATACATGAATAGAATATTAATTATTGTTTATTAAGGATAGCAGTATTTAATACTATTTGAATTACAAATTTCGATAGCTCTTGCTTGACCAAGTCTAGCCGCCTTTATCAGCCATTGCTCTCCTTCATCCTTTTCTCTGTTGTTATCGCCAAACATCCAAATAACTCCTAAATTATACATTGCAGTAGGATTATTATTTTCTGCAGCTAATTTAAAATACCGTGTTGCTTCTTTCTTATCTTTATCAATACCAAGCCCATAATAAAGGCCAAATCCATATCTTAATTGTGCTTCAGGATAATTAGCATTAGCAGCTTTCTGATAATACTTCATTGCAACTTGAACATAGGTATCTTCTCCTTGAATAACATCTTCAATATCTTCTTCATAAAGCGTTCTTGATTTTAGAATATCTTGTTGTAAATAATATCCGATCCAATAATCAGCGGTAACGCTCCCTTTTCTAGAATGATTTACAAATGTTTTCCACGCCTCCAGTGTATTTCCATTTGGATCATTGTGTTGTTTAGTTGCATCATCTAATGACATCTGCGGTGGGAATCGTGGTTCAACCTGTATGTTATCATCGAAATTTTCATTTTCATCATCGAGGTAATCTCCAAATAAAGCTAAAGAGTATAGATTACTTCCACCAACTATAAATGCTCTTTCATCAGTATCAACTATACACCACCTAAGAACTATATTTTCTTGAGGGGTTGATTCGATTTTATTTGAGTTGAAATCATCTTGTTCATCGTCTTCTGAACCTATATCATCATAACCATCATCTATATTTTCTCCTGAATCACTAATTGAAGCTTTCGGTTCTTCCTCTATTTCAATATTAATTGTCGTTTTTGTCCAATTTCTGGGTTTAATGTTATAAAAAACAGTATCTTTCCTTGAAACAATTGATGTTATTAGAACACAGTTGGAAGTGAGTTTTTTACTTGCTAATGTCACCATATGCTGGGTGTTATCAACGTTAAACTCTCCACAAATGACTTTAACGCCTCTATTTATGTTATTGCAGTATCCTTTTGGATTAGCGAGTACGAACCATAGGAGTTTTATATCTTCTTTTATTAAGCTTTAATTTTATAAACAAAATATGGTTAAAACAGCCAGTCTATA